TTTTGAATTTTGTTTGCAATATTTTAATTGTCACCAAACATTGCGACTTTCATTGGAAAATTAGCAAATTTATAAAGTCATAGAAAATAAGTATTTGGAAGTAATGATTTTACAGACACCATCAGTTTCTTCACATTACTTTTGTCTGTATTAATAATTAAACATTAGACTTAGAAAGCATTCATTGTAACTGATGGTTATATGATGATGAAAAGAAAAAGAATGACAGATTTTAATTATTTTATTGCAGAATGCCTCCATATCGTGACTTTGAACAAAAGCATCAATAAATTTATATGGGAAAGGAAATGAGAAATTTTGGCTTCAAAAATCTAAAATTGATTAGTTTTCCAAAATCTCATGCATAATCATTAAATAAGAACTGTAGTAACTGATGATTATATAAATCTTGAGGATATTTAAAAAGAGAATTTTTTACTTTTTTGGGTTTTAGCATTATTTTAAACCTAAAAATATTGTCTTTTTTCACTTTTGATTACTTCTGATACCTGAAATAAAGTGATAAGGGATGTATATTTTAGGTCAGATGATTAAATAAGAACCAAAAAATATATCCAGTCTGTATTGTTTAAATATTAGAAGTTATTGAAAATATCATTGAAGATCAGTCGGATGGGTTCTCAAAAGCACATTACACACTCTCTGCCCCTAGTGATGCCTTCTGGTTGTATATGTGTGATATTTGATAGCTATTTACCCATGTTTCACAATGACGAAAATATTGGAGGTTCCCCAGCCCCCATAGACACTTATTTCAATGCTAAAATATCCTTAGGATTTTCCTATTGAAATTTGATCTATTTTTATGCAATTTAAACTCAATACTTCTAGCTGATATAATTCAACTTTAAGATATAATTTTGCTATTGCCAGCATTTTCTTGTTTAGAATGCTAAAGTTCAACTACATATCTACAGAGGATAGCATGCCCTTTAACTCCAAATAGGAAGCTGTGGACATTACAGTGTAATGTCTGCCCTCACAAAACTACACTTCCTTTGTCTTTTAGCTGGGGAGCATGGAATGGAGAGAGGAGCCTGTAGATTACAGTGGTCTGGCACAACTTACCAACTGCACTAAAGGCAGCAATATTATGAAAAGTTCTACTACATATTCCTAATGCTGACTCTTGAAGGTCTTGAAGACCTTGGTGTGCAGCAGATATTTTTAGGTTTTTTTTCAATACCAAGTCTTGGAGGTTTGCTTTAAGAGAAAGTGTGATATCTGTGTCCCATATGGTCTACGTTTTTATTAGCTAGTTTATTTAGTTTCTTTGAAAACTGTCTCTAAGCTTAATATGTAGGTACTGTAAGAAATCTAAACCATGTATTGAAGTAAAAATAAACAAACTACAAAAAAACTCAAACCAAATCAAGCCAAAATTCCAAAAAAAGGAAAGAAAGAGGGAAAAAAAAACGAACAAAAATCCATTCCTGCCTTAAGCTTATGTGAAAATTTTTTATCTTCAAATCATTAAGGCTTGAAAAGAAACACACTTTATAAGGTAATGTTTTGAACTATGACACATTCAAAAACAAGCTATTCCTCTCTTCAGCGTATGTTGGGTAACAGCTCTTTGGAATTCTGTAAAAAAGTCCTGAACTGTGATTTAATCTAAAGAAATATATGGCAACTACCCTTACAAAAGTCTATTGTATAAAGAATTTATTCTTTTCATGCTTTCATTTATATATAAAGTTAGTTTAATATATTTTCAAGATACAGGTCTGGAAGATCTTTCTTCTGGTGTAGACCACCCTTCTGTAAATCTGACATATTTATTTTTCTGCAGTTTAAGTAGTCATTTTTGGTTGTGTTTCAACTTTTTGCTCTGTGGCATTTAATTTTTTCAATGCAGGTCAATGTAGATCACATGACTTATTTTCATGATGCTCATGTTTATTGTCTGCTCTTAGGACAAGCCTGTCTTAGTACATTTCACATATTTGGAATGTGTCTAAAAAAACGCAATGAAATCTTCAATATTTCCAGGCTGTCCCTGTGTAGAATGGTTTAGTAACTTCTAATTTTGATAATGCCGATTTTGATATTATTGCATTCTCACTGTGATTTTAGTGACAGTTTTTCTCTTCCAGAAAAAAGCATCTTAATTAAGGCTGCATATGCACTGCTGCAATAGACAAAGTTAGGTAAAATATTCCAGTTACAAGAGGGGAACTCCTGAAGATAATTTTTGCTTCAAAAATGTAGGATAATCAGCATCTGAGGCAAAACTTTCTGTGTTTTCCATGTACAGTCCATTAATCAAATGTATATTTCACTTTATTTTTGATTTTTATTATTATAGGTATTATAAAACACCATCTGGCTCTTTAATACCACTAAAGATTTTGTAGAAAATTGTTTGTCTATCAGTTGTTTATATTTTTATCTCTTCCATTCACAATAATATTTTAAGATTTTTCATGACAACTAAGCTAATGCCCTCATAAACCAGCTCTCTAGGGCTCTCAGATCCTGTATCTGAGGGGCGCACAATACTTTGTTTTTCCAATGTGACTGCCTTTTTTTCCTCATGTGTACGTGCACTGGCACTGACTATCCTCTTCCATTGCCACAGCTGGCTAATAAGCTTGTGTGTTTCCCCAGCATCAGCTCTGTACCACCTTGGGGCCAAGGGTAGCTAGTTTTAAGGCAAGATACTAGTGTTATCCTGCAGCTGGGAAGACTGATTATCTCCTCTGTGTCTCACCTATTAGGCAATCACTTATCCCTGAAGGAAATATATCTTGCTGCAGAAAAATTTAACTTCTCTGATAGCGTCTTGTATTGACCTTGTTGAATTCCCACTGGAGTCTTAGTAACAACTCTCTAGTCCTACCACTTGAGTTTTTGCTCAGAAATAATGAAGTAATGAGATGGAGATGTTATCAACATTTGGCAGTTTGACCTTTGGCCTCCTCTAATGGAGGAATTTTTGATGTTGACACTCTATTTCGCTACTACATTTTGGTGAGGAGAGAAATCACAGAATCTGGAATAGTTCAAGGTGGAAGTGCCATCTGGTCCAGTGTCCCTGGTCAAGCAGGATCATCCAAGAGTACACGGCACAGGATTTCACCTAGACAGTTTTTGAAGATTTCCAGTGAGAGAGACGCTACACCCTCTCTGGACCATCTGTTCTGGAGCTTGGTCACACGCACAGAGGAAAGAAGTTCTTCCTCATATTCAGGTGGAACTTCCTGAGCATTTGTTTCTTCCTGTTTAGATCTGATATTTAAATATCCATTGAAGCTTAGTTAGAATATAAAGCAGGTTTCAGAGTTTAATTCTCTCAGCTCATGCTCACCCTTGTTTTAAGTTTGTTGTGTGTCCAACCAAAGGTGAAGGGAAATAACTATAATACTTAATATATTTTCCTTTGGCTTCAGCACAAAGAAAATGAAAAAAAACTTAGAGACATGATAAATTGGCTTATTTGTGAAGTTTTTGTGAAGGTTTTTTTGTTCTATGTTTCTTCTTTTTTTTAATTATTTCTTTTTTTTTCCCTAACTGCATTATATTTTGTGTTAATTCTGAGAAGGATTCAAAGAGAAAAAAAATGCAAAATCAATAAATAGTTATAATTCTTTAGGAAAAGAAAACCTGAAAAAAAATATTGCTGTTAGTTTAAAAAATGTTTCCATTTTATCAGGAAATTATATCCTAGGGAGATATTAGAGAATTGATAGAAATATCATGCCAAAACTACAGCTTTGGTAAATATGTAACCCATAGCTTCTTCTCTAGGGAAATACTTGTGTTTAGTGGAGACTGTACCATACCCTGGAGTGCTGACAGTTGATTGCTCTCTTTCAAGACTGCTTCTGCAAATTGCATAAATTCCTTGTGTTCCTTATGTGTACTCTCCAGTTCAGCTATTAGTCCATTTACCTTGTCCATTATAAACCACAAAGTATAATATAAAATCATTGAATTAGCTCACATATTTGTATGCCACATAACAAGCTGGTTGAATGACAGTTAGACAAAACGTATTTTATCATGAAGTTTGCCTTTACTTGTGATTTCTAATCTTTCCTGTAATTGCTGTATATTTGTATTATATCCTAAAAATAGAAATACATTTAAATATTATTCTTATTTATTTTTATATTATGTTTTTCACTTTACAGAATAATCTCAATTAGATCACAATGTATTTTATGTAGACATTCAGGGTCACCTTTTTCAGGTATTGGGAAAGGTCTTGGAGAAGTAAATTGCATATGGAAGAAGAGGAATAATTTTGTTATTTTGGTTGGGTTTTTTGTGTGAGTCATGTTGATCAAAAGAGTTTGGCATTTTTCACATTAATTTTGAAATAGCAGAGTCTTTGGTATCATTATAGTTCTGATTTATCAATCTGTGGTTCTTTCAGGTATGTTCTGATCCTGACACATGTGATTCGGAACTCCTTAAATTCACTGTGTAAATCAGGTGTTTCCTCATCTGTCCTGATAAAATAAATGGAAAGTTCAGATTTGAATTCAGTATGGCAAGAACTTCTAAAACCCTTCTTTCTTACTGTAGAGTTGGAGACATGGATGAAGAAGCCTGTAGGGGTGCAAAGTTCTACCACCAGCAGAGAAAAACAGTTAATCCTACTGTTGAAGTGATTTTTTTATCCTTTGTCTCCATTTGGGTTTAATGCTTTGTCAGTTTCACCTTCAGATCCTCCAGTAAATGTCTCTTCTCCTACCATAGGCAGCATAGTTGCCTGCTCCTGTTGAGTGCCTATGAATGCATGTTATTTTTTGGTGTTATTAGGAGCTTTCAATTGCCACTAATCCTATTTACCTTAACAGACACATTTATTGCTCTGACAATATTTTCTATTCCTTTTTGGACAAAAACTAAGTATCATTTAAAAATGTCTCAAGGCATTTTCATTGAGAGCATCACCATTTCAAAAAGCTCTGTAAAACTGATGACTAAATAAATTTTCTTCTTCTTTTTTTTTTTTTTTTCCACCCTAGTAAGTGAGCAGTGGAGCTAGAAAACTTGGCAGAAAACTCTTTTGTCTTTCCTGCTTGTTTCTATGGAACCTGGTTTGCAAGGTAAGTGTTCCATTTTAATTGACTGTAATTGTATGCTATTAAAATTTTAAATGCCTAAAATAATATTATAGCACCTCTAGATTTTAAAGAAAATACCCTTGCTTAGTGTTTAATCTACACTTTTAGCAGTGAATTGTCTTAGAATACTCTTACAACTTAAAATAATTGCAATGAGTTCCTTTGGATTTATTAACAAATAAATCTCACTCTCAGGAAGAAAGGAAAAGTATGGCAAGATTGAAGTTATTTTTGAGTATCAGGATTATTTCTATTATATTTCCATTAGTCTGAGTGGAAACAACATCTAGATCATTGTGAATGCATTTATTATGTCAATATGTATTCTCTGTATTCTGTGTTTATTGGGAATGCTGTGTTTATTCTGTTTATTCATGACTTTATTAGGAGGAACACTGAAGGTAATTCTTGAGACCCCTGGCCTATGTTTTCAATTTTAATTGCTATGTAGTTTTTAAAATAAGAGCTTCTTATTCCTGCTCTTAATATATTCTTTAATAATGATATCTGAAAGGTAATTATGTTCTATATTTGGAAAATCTAGTTTTCTAGAGTTCAGAATATATCAGAAAAGCTGGCCTATTTTATTATCATGATTTCGTTTTAATGAATTACTGGGGAAGGCTGCTGTTTCTACCAAAAAAGTCATGTTACCAAGAAAATATTAACCTGAATACCTTCCTCAGCATTTGTTAAGGGTTAAGGATTAATATTACTGTTTGCTTTGACACTTTTCTTGTCCCATCCCTGAATTTTATCTTTTAAGTTGTCTTGTTTGTCTTTAGGAAAGAACTTTCATCTCTAGTCTTTTTGTCATTGAAATGTCCATTTTGGTATTTTAGACATGGTGAAAGAAAGTTTTCAAAATATGTCCTCTTATATGTGATAAATTCAACAGCAAGCTATGCTACAGCCACTCCAAAATTGTGCTGGGAAAATACCCATTCTTGACTGAAGAGCCACTAGGAGCACTTGTATGTTCAAGGTGGAAAATTGGACTTTTTGAAAAACAGTATCAGCAGCTTTTCCAGCACCTGAAAAAAAGGTGTGTATATTCTATTCTTCAGCATTTGGTTAACAAGCTGATCCTCAAGGCTGGGCATTTTAGTATATTGTATTTCTCAAGAAGGGAGAGGAAAGAAAAGTGACTTAGCCTTTGCTTGAGTGAAATCCTGCTATGATATGGTGGGTGGTTGTTATAAAAGAAAAGTAGTAGCGCTTCTTTCAGGGATCCTTCTGAGGATGGAAGACATTAAAAAAAAAATGAAGGTGTCTGGCCAGTTTTATCGTCTCTCTTTTAAATACTAGAATTAGCAGAAAATTTCCAGCTTTTAAGAAGAGCCCAGACACTGTGATTTTCCATGCAGATAGTTAGGCATTTTACAATCAGATTTGTGAAAAAGGAGTGGGTGCATTTCAAAGTGGCGCTGCTTCAATTCCCCAGATGTCATGTTGTACATAGGTTGCTTCTATCTTTTGCAAAGCCAGCAGAAGTGGGAAAAACACTAGTAGTCAGAAGTCTGATGGCTAAAGCTATCATTTTACATGGGCTTAATCACAATTTCCATTATTATGTCTCATTGTTTAATGGAAATTTAAGAATGTACTTAAAGATTTGCAGAATTGGGATATATTTGGATGAATTGCAGCAAAAGAAATGAAAGTGAAAATGACGTGTAGAATTTCCAAAGCATCTGTAGGTGACATAGCAGCAGGCTTAAGATGCTCTTTCTGCATTACATGTGATAACTATGTAGCTTATGTAAGACAGAAATCACCAAAAAAATAATGTAATGTTTTTAAAAGTATTTAGCAAAGAGCATTTAATTTTTTTCCAAACTAGTATTATGATTTTTTATGCATAATAACTACTTCTGACTTACTGGCCTTCCTTTTACTGTATGTGCAATTAAATCTGAAGGTGTCAATGATTCTAATGACTTATGTGCAGTTTTTGGTATTAGCATTTCAGAAGAAAACACCAATATTCAATTTGAGTTAGCAATAAGTCACTGTCAGTAAGAATAGACTAATATATCTTTATGATGATGAGCTTATATGGGGTAATGAGATGTTTTTAATCAAACAAAGGAGTAGGATCAGAGTTGTAATTTGAAATTCTATTTTTAAAAAGGTTTGGGGAACTATTGGAAGTAAATTGTCTTTCATTCTGTCTTTTGTTTTCATCCTTCTGAAAAGATTCATGACTGCGTATTCCATTTGTTTTCCTAACATTCTTGTGGTGAATTTGGGATGCACAGTGCATAACATCTGTGAATTTCCATAAAATGAGGCTGTGAAAGTTTTTTTTATACTTTCCATTTGATGTTAAAAAAGCTTCCTGAGTAGGTTTTAGGCATCTCAAGAATGTTTCTGCCTTTACTGACCTAGATTATACTAAGTGCTGCTGTAAAGCATTATATACGAACAGGTGTAATGACTCCATTTCAGAAAAAAGAAGGAAAAAAAAAATGGTTATTTCATACATGCATGTCAATACATATGTATTTATTTCCCAAAGAGAAAAGAAAACTATTTTATAAACTGAAATTTTTCATGTCTGTAAATATTATACACTTCTGTGCCTAGGAAATTTCAAATAAAGTAAAACTAGATGAGAGGTGGTGTTTTATAACTAGGGTTGATGTTGATGGTGTTCCTTTGCAGGCAGATTAACTTAATTTCTTTCGCTAGATGGCCAACACTACTGTAAGAACTGATTTTTCCTTCCAACCCTCAAATTCAGCCTACCAGTGTGACAGATAATTTTTTATTACCAGATGTAGCTAAATTTTGCATCAGTGCAGTACTGGAATAAAAATAATTTACTATCAGTTCCAAAATCTTCTATATTGACTCATACATCTAATACATAAATTTCTACATTTCTTGAGTAAATACCCTGAATTTGATGGATTAGTGTGTATATATTGAGGAAAATATGTGTCTCTAGAACACTCCTAGATCAGAATACAAAAAGTTCTGGATAATTGTATTTTTTGTCTGCTCTTTACCTAGAAATCTACATTATTAAAAGTACTTATCCAGGGATTAGGTAATAAAATTAGTTAAGGTTTCTTATAGTTCTCAATGTTACAAGATCTGCATGCCTGAAAATAAGCAAAGGCTATCATAATGCTTTTCTTTTGAGACCAAAAGTTGCTATTTTTCAACTGTAAAGAAAAATTTGAATAATTGGGCTAAAATGACTAGAACCACATATGTGCTGTTATGTAAATAAAAGAGACTAAATTCCCTCAGGTTTAAAACATTTATTTTAATCCACATGCTCAAAAAATCTCTGACAATTCAATCTAGTACCTTCAAAAGTAACAGGTGACTTCAGACAATCAGATTATACTGCCAGAAGGGGCCTGATAGTCACTAAATTCTGAACATATCTTACATGAAATTCAGGCTCCTTCTAAATTCAAAATGCACGCCCAAAAAGTCACTTAGTGACTTCTTTGCATACATTGGAGATGCAAGACCTGCTGATTCTTGAAACTGTTAAAATAAACTAAAACAATCCATTTCAGTTTTATTTGGGTGTAATCTCGTGCTGTTATGTATTCAGTCATCTTCATACTTTGAGTCATACAGGGAGTTATACTCCCAGTTACACTTGGACTTTAAATAAGTGTTAGGATTTATTTGGGAATCCTTAAGTTTACCGAGTCTTGATTTTCCAGATGAAAGTCATAAATCTGCTTTAGACATGGACTTTAGGCATCCACATTCAAGAGATGTTTAAAACTGATGTACAGCAAACAAGGCCCTTCTTTGGAGAGACATGTGGTTCATCCAGGGAAGACGTTCCAGTTTCTTCCCTGGTCTCTCCAAACATCAAATGATGTCTACATTACCAGGGTACTAGAACTGCTGAAAATAGAAATCTAACCTCAGTATTTGTTTGTTTAGAAAAGTCAAGCAGAGCCGAGCAAAAATCTTAGAAAAGCAATCTTTTGGAAAAAGTAAAGTTACAGTCCACAAATAAAAAGATGTTTTCTTTATGCCTGCAAATGTTTTAAAGCTTTGTTATTCACCCACTCTGAAGATACTTCCTATGTTTTGCAGAAAAAGCTAGAAGAAAAAAGAAAAGCTAGAAGATCTTTCATCACCATTTAGTAGCAATGTCAATATGATTCCATTTTCTGTCTTAAGAGAGAAATATCATTTAAGTTTGTGTATCTTGGTTGAAACAGTCCTTCCTGACTTTCCTTCATGCCTCACTCACAATCCTACTGTCCATCCTTAAATCTTTGTGGTTTTCATTTTTATCATTGCAGCCCAATCTTTGGTATGGAATTTTGAAATGAGAGTTCAGCACAGTAAAATACTGTGTTTCTTTTTGTTAATCAGAAGGCATATGAACAGGAAAACAAGCAATAACTTTGTCTACTATTTCTGTCATTACAAGGGTAACACCAGAGGTAAAGTAAAAGGTAAAAGGAGAGTTTAGCAAGATAATATATGTAAGCGTCCAAAACTGAACCCAAGTCGGTTCATTTATTCTAACTTTGGAAGAAGAATTTTCATGCTCAAAAGTGGTCTTCAGTTCCTGACTGGCAAAAGCCAAATCAAATCAAACCATAATCTTGATGATCTTAAATGTCCTTCCAACCTAGGCCACTCTATGATTCTGTGACTAAAAAAACCTGTTATATAACAGCAGCCCACTGATATACAGATTTGTAATAACTATATAGTTGATCACAGTTTGACACCTTCTATTCTTTTACATAATCTCTATTTTTAATGAATCTGTGGTTTCTGGTAAAATATTTTGAATATCATTAGGGATTGTATAGAAGCTTTTGGCATGAACATTATCTCAATATTGAAAAACAAATTTCAGAGCTTTATTTCATCCTTGTTTACTTCATCACCATGAATTAAATAATCCTCAGACTAGAAAAGCAGACACACTACATCTTTAAGTCTAATCATGGACACCATTGTCTTCTGCCTCATTTTAGTCA